CTCAGCACATAAAGCCTACTCGCACAGCACAAACTGCTCAAGAACTCCACACAATCCATCAATCTGCTTTCCATTTACCATTTCCTCGCTAAACACAGGCAAGATTTAAAAGCTGCTGTTTTGTTATGGATCGGAGTTTGCTGACAAGCAACTCTGTAGCTTAAACGCTTCCAAGACCAACTCCAAATAATTCCCCCATACCAACAGTGCCCTATTTGCCCGACTTATTATTGTGTTTTGTGGCTCAAAGCAGAAAGTCAAAGCAGGAACCAGCCCTAAATGGGAGAGTCTGGACGGTTTTGCTGTTACTTGTCCACTTGACAGGCTGCACCCACCGCGCCAGGAAGGGCTGGACACAAAATCCTCAGGAGCGTTTTGAGGGACAGTCAGCAACATACATTTACAGCCCCTTAATACCCTCCCAAACACACAGCAATGCAGGACAGGCCACCCACACTTGGCTACGCMGGCGCTGAGAAGCTTTGGACCAAACCGAGCGCTTCAACCGCAGGCACTGAGATTCGTCCGTATTCCTCAGGGAGGAAAACCAGGGAAAGGGGTTGGAAGGGGACTAAAAGGAAACGCAAAGGGCTTTGCTTACTATTCAACGCAAAAGCACAGCAGGTTAACTTTCTATGTCAGTGAAAGTGCCTTACTCTTTGCAATCTCAGCTTCTCCTTCTCTGCAGAGCTTTTGTGGCATTTCTGAGATACCTGAAATTAGAAAATGCAGTTTTATTGCGCCGCATCATTCCCTTTCCAGAAGATGCTAGAACTTCGCAGCTAAGAGAAGAGCAAACTTGCCCTGAATTACATTAACATTATTCTTTTAGATTCATATATTCAGTAACATGAGTATTCCTACAGTATAGGATATAAGTATACAGCTCAAGCGTATCTAGTCTCACTGATTTGCATTTAAACCTGAATCCATCTAAATGTTTCAGTTTMCATGAAGTTCTCATATTGCTAAACTTTGCATAAACAAATCCCCCTTGTCTACTCAATTCTAAGGCATCGTTTGCAGTGCAATATTGTGTGCATAAAAACAAATCACTAGAGCATTGTGGAGGACATTACAGCAAAGTCATTTCCTCACAGTTAAACTTTTTTGCATCCTATCACTTCCTTGTGCTACAATATTTAGACCTCATCCCCCAAATGCAAGGAATATTACCCACAGTTTCCCCTCATCATCATAACCTTCCACTAGTTCAAGCATGCCAGCCCTAAATTCCCAATGAATCACACTTAAATCCCTTAAAGCTGATATTTACCAGAAATATTTTATGTTTACACAGCCAAAAACAAAATAACARCAAAAAGAATCACTTGATCAAATATTTAGTCTGTCAATCTTTTTCTTTAAGCACATCATGGCTTTCTTCCCACCTCACACTGAGACGGCAGGAGAGAAATATATGTTTATCCCTGAGATTTAAAAACTAACCCCTAGGAAACGCTTTATTTTCTACACTCAGAAAGTCAGTTTATACAGTGTCAAGCCGTATCTGCAGATTCTGTGTTTCCTGATGCAAAGAAACCAAAGCTGTTTCCACCTAGGAAAACAAACTTACAAATACGAATAATTGGCCGATTCAAATTTCTCACTGGGGCAAATAAAACAGGAGGTTTTCTACCTTATTTTATGCAACGTGAAGCCATTTACTTGCTTGCATTATCATARCATGGTTATATACGTATATCTCATTATCATATATATCGTAGCAAGTCAAGCACTTTTTGTTCTGCTGCRCTGGATATGGATCAAATGAGTTCAATTACATCTTCACAGGAGCAAGGCCGCAAATTTAATAGTCTAAAACTGGTTGTTTTGAGAAAACTCACTCAGCAGAAGAGGAAGACCCGTCACGTCGTGAAACCCAAGCCCCAGCTAACTTGAGGTATCTCCTGCAGACCAGCCAGGTTTCCCCTCACATGTGCTACAGTCTCTCATTAAATCTTTGATTTAATCTCATTAAATCTCTCATTRAAGAGCAGTTCACATAAAGCTGTCTCAAAATGCTCAAAACAGCAGCAGACACTGGTGTCTGGATCACAAGGAGCTGCTCTGTGCGTTTGCTTCCCTCCACCTGATTCACTCCTTTAAATCACACGTTAATTCATTTTCAGACTCCCGCAGGGCAACATCTACCTCCTGATTTTGCCTTTTAAAACATAGTTAGACCAGAACAAACACATAGGCTGTGCAACCTGGGCTAAGTTTAGGCCAGATTTGGCCACAGCATCTGAGCACGTTTGCAGGACTGCTCTATGCCTTCTTTAAGGACCAGGCTATTGTGCTTGCGGCAAGAGCAACTCCCACTTGGGCTCTCCATGGATATTCCCTGCAGAAGCCTATTCACCTCCCGGCCACGCGATTGTCTGGGCCATCTGTGCAGGACAGGCCCTCTTGAAGAGCTTCCCTTGCAGCGCAGCACCAAAAGTCACCCAAATGAGCTGAGGCGCTAAACTGAAGTGGATTCAGCTCCCRACGGAGCAGCTGGGGAAGGAGTTCAGAGGAGCTCGTGGTGGCACCGGGGCCCGCGGGGGCCACAGCCTCACGCGGGCACCCTGGCCTGGTCCCTGGCCCTGCCAAACGGTGCCCCTCACAAGACGGAGCTCTCAGCTGTAGATAAGGACCCGCTTCTGCGTCCACAGAGCTCAAAGTCCCTGTGCGAGCGCACCAGCAACATTCAGATCCTTTAGCTAAAGGGTTTAAGGAGAGATTCAAAAGGTTAATAGCTCAGTTACAACACGGAGCAATCGGCAACGCTTTCCAGACACTTCCCCTACGCTTTGTATATGTCCCAGTTATGCTTTTGCCTATAAGCGCAGGGAACCACAGCACCTACACTGAAATAACATTTAAAAACCCAAGAGAAGAGACCAACCTTCCTAACGGGTGTTGAGACAGCTAAAGGACTAGAGTTTCTCTTTTTTTGTGCAGGAGGCTGTGTCTCAGGGGAGCTCACAGAGGGAGAACTTAAGGAGGAATTAGTAAGTACAGAGTCTCCTTCATGGGATGATTCCATAGTCTCATTTTCTGATATGACACTTCCATCCACAGAAACAATTTGGGGAGATTTTCCAGTCATAATATCCTCCAGAACCACTACAGGCATCTTCCCCTTAAAAATGACATCCTTCAGTTCACTCCGACTGATCTTGGTGTTTTCCGAGCTGTCACGCTGCGTTAAGGCAGAGCAAGCCTGGATTTCATCTACCAGTTCTTCCTCTTTATTTGCTACGGCTTCACGTGGCGCATCAGTCTCCATTAAATCATCCATTTGACTATTCTGAGTGGAATTCCCACAACTCGACTGGTTCCTATCTTTTTCTAGCGTGCCATTAGTTATTCCTACAGACAAAGACGCTTCCGAGCCTAGATTAACACAGTCCACATCGTCACTTAGTCTGTGGCTGGAGTCTTTTGTCAGATCGATAACGATCACAGGTTCACTTRTGTCGTGTTTCGTGTTTTTTTGTATAAAATGATCTAACGGGCCCTTCCCGTTGACGAGCTTTGGGGTGAAGGCGGCGTCCGCATCCAGCTGGCAGTCGTTCTCCACGTTGTCCAGCGCCGCGTCCAGCGAGGAGGCCCTGGGGGGGCCCAAACCGCCCGGCGAGCTCTTCACTTTCTTCACTTCCGAATCCGCCTCGTATTTTTCCTTCGGGACGGGATTCAGGCGCTTGAAAGGCAGCCGGGCTGAAAGGGTAACGTGTGGTTGTTTTAGCCGCGGTATATAATCCATTGGGAAGGGGGGGGCAAGGTGATAAGGAGGGAGATAAGACAAAGGAGGGGACGCGCGGGGAGGTCGCAGCGGCCAGAACCGAGCGGGGGGGCGGCGCTGCGGGCGGGGGGCAGCGCCCGTCCCACCGGCACCTCCGTTACCGGCACCCGAGCGGGCGCCGAGCGCCGCGGCCGCGGCCTTACCTTGCACGAGCCGGCGCGGGGCAGCGGCCGCCTTGTCCCGGCACTCCATGGCTGCA